TTGCCTTCTTGTGAAGTTATTATATATGCTGTAATATTTTCTGGGCATTACTACAGGTCAGTCAGTCTCACTTCTGTGCCCAGCAAGATCATGGAGCAGATCCTCCTGGAAACTATGCTAAGGCACATAGAAAATACGGAGGTGATTGGTGACAGGCACCCCGGCTTCACTAAGGGCAAATTTACTTACCAAATTTGGTGGTGTTCTCCAACGGGAGTACAGCACTGGTGGATAAGGGAAAAGCAACTGGCACATCTACTTAAGCTTGTGCAAAGCATTTGACACTGTCCTGTGCAACATCCTTGTCTCTAAAATGGAGAGGCATGGGTTTGATGGATGGGTCACTTGCCCTAGGAAATGAACATGAGGGGTTTCTGTGTGTATGGTCAGATAATTTGCATGTATATGTGATTCTGAGCTCACTACATATTGTCAGTTGTCTCTGTTGGTGTACCTTCTATAATATGGCTAAGTTATGGTTTACTCGGGTGGTTTTGCAGGTGGTAATTGAATGACTTGCTGCAGAGGCAGGACTGTAACTTCTTTTTATGATTGTGCTATCTGGTCCTCCTCTGACTCAGATACAGATGTCCTAGCCAAAAAAAAAAAAAAAAAGCCTATTATCAGAGCTGTGGCTTCTCTGATTAGTATATAGGGGGAGCTGAACTAGTAATGAATTGCATATCTGAGTTCTAGAGAGGCAGGTGCTGTCTGCTAAATGTGTGCCAAAAACTCCACTGTCAACAGTAAGGGTGAATGATGTAATGCCACCTTGCAGCCAGAACCACCCTGAGATCATGAGCTCATTTCATATTAAATAATAATGATCAGTTGGAAATCTTTATCATTGCTAATCTGCCAACAGATTTACTAGTCAATTTTGTCTTGAACATGGCAAGGAGATTGGGGCAGCTCTTTCTGCTAGAGCCTCTGTTGGGCCAAAACCACCAAATCAGGTATTTTGGCTGTGCTGCTGCCAGTATCTAATGTAAAGTAATTTTTAACTGTTTGTAGAATGAACATCGAAAACCCCAGTGCAGATGTAGAGATTGCAGCAGGAGAAGGGAGTGGGAGGCAGTAAGCTGCTAGGAAGGGAGTTTTGGCAAATATTCCTGTGTGCTACTTACATCTTTAGCTGTATTTTCCAAGCTCTTCTAGCTGTTACAGTGAATGATAGTCTTGGGAAACCTCAGAATTCTCAAGCCTTTCATGACAAACTTGGGTAATTCTCCTTTTAGGAAATATTACACTATTTTGAAGTAATAAAATTCTGCAGAGATGTGTCTAAGTGGCTCCATAAAGATAATCATGGTGAGCTCTATGGATCTGGGAAATAAATTGCCTCTGCCACCTCTCCTCCCGCCCCCGTCTATAGAGCTCAGGTCTCTAGGTTATTGGTAGGGTGGAAAAATAATTTTCCTCTGTTCTTCTCCCTTTCACCCCTTGCTGCTATTTCCCTCTTGCTATTATTTATTCAAAAACATCTGTGTTATAAGAAACACAGTTGTCACTGCTATTTATACTGTAACATGAAAAGTAAAGTAATATTTCAGAGTTTGGGGGTCTGTTGTTGGGATTTGGTTTTGGTTTTAACAATCAGGTTTTTTTATCAGAGGCATGGATGTTTCTTCTAACGTAAGTACATGTTGTTTTTCTGCTAGTGAGACATCAGTGCTAAGTAATTGCTGAAATCTTTTTCATTTTTCTTTTTATTTTCACTTGGCCTTCACTGACTTTGAAGTTTGGTTCAGGTCAAATTGTACATTCGTCTTTTAAAGCATCTGAAGCAACAACCTCAGTTTGTCCTTTAGATCCTGAAAGCTTATATTTCTGCCCAGCTTTAATTCAGCTCTTTGTGGTCTGTGTTGGTTATTAGAGTACCAAGTGATTTCTTTTTAATGAAAAATAAAAGGCATGCATCAAGCATTGCACAGACTTTGAAAGAATATCTTAGAAAAAAACTCTTGGTTTTTGCTGTAGTGGTCACTGGTCAGTCTGTTTTCTAACAATCCTGATTTATGGAGATGAAAACAGGACCCTTGAAAGCTGCCAGTCCAGTGAGAACAATTCATTAATTAGCACTTCTTCACTCGTGATTAAGAGCAATATAACCTTATGTCCTGGAATTTCCTTTTTGCCCCCAGAGAGTCTAATCTGTGTGACACATCTGTGCCTCCACATATGGTTATATGCACCAGGGTAAAAAAAAACTGTTATAGATACTTTACAAAATCACATACTTCACAAAGATTTACATTTTCTGCATCAGCATTATAATCTATCTGGCAGATTTCTATCATCATTCTGCTGGGGAATTTTGCACTCTTCAAAATGGAGACCGCATTAGAACACCCATTTTGAGTTATGTTTAGACATCATAGAGAACAGCCATGGTGTGACAATTATTTTTCTGATCTCAGAACTGACAGAGCAGGCCCTTGAAGTAGAGGGCTCTGGTTTATTTTTTAATTTATTTTTCATTTTTACTTTTGGTTTGTTTTACAGAAGGGAATTGTCAAGGCTGACAGATGTGGTGCTTCTCAGCAGGAGCAAATAAATGGAGGGAGAGCCTTCTTGGCCGAAGAGACAGGTAGGAGGCAGATCTGGATTCTCTGTGAACAGGGGTGCTTCGATAGAGTGAAAGCAGAAAATCTTTGCCTGGCTTAGAACACTGACAAAACTTAGACTACAGTGGTGGCAAGGGCAAGCTTTACAGAACTCCGTGGTTTTGCAGCACTCCTTAGCAATAATGCAACTGACTGAGAAATTCCTTTATGAAGCCTAAGTACCACATGGTTTTGGTTGGTTGGTTGTTTTGTTTTTTTTTTTTCTTTTTGGTGTGCGAGATAGTACCTGGATGCATTAAACTAGAACTACAACACTGAGGAGGAGTTCTGAGAAAATAAAAGGTTACTGAATGGGAAGAGGGAATCTCGTATGTAGGACTATAGTTTAAAGTTCTATGATAGCTGGGTCAGGAAGTAGTGTGGCTCAGGGAAACCTTTACACAAGGAATCTGGGCCTGCGTGACAGCAACGCTGATCCAAAGCTAGAAACAGTAACCAAGTTGGTTTAAAGATAGTTGGTTTTGGATTCAGCTGACTCTTGCAGCAGGTTAGCTACTATCCCAGGCCTGGTGGCTCAGCCTTAGATTTCAGTGAAGAGTTGCAGCAGTCTTTGGTCCTGCAGCTATTAATGCCATGAATAATCTTGCTTTTCAGAAGAGCAAAATTTGCAGAAACGTCTGTTGTCTTCCATGGCAGCTTTTGGGCACTTCTAGTCTGGCGGTGTTTACAGAAGGGGAACAATGTGATGCTCAGTTCTTTGTGAGACTTAATTTTCTGTGTTATTGTGGGCAAGGCACAATCCATGTTTAAGAATGGAAAATGGGGATGCTAATGGGGGAATTGGACCAAATGTTAATGTTCCAGAGCCTATATTTAGGTACTGTGCCTTACTAGGAGGTGATGTGTCCTGCATAATGAACACTGAGACCTGATGACAATCTGATAGTATTTTATCATGAGTTTAGCTTTGACAGTGAAATTATTGCTCACAGGTTTTATCCTTTGAAGCTGAAGAATTAGGGTTTTGCATCTTGTCTGACTCTGAGGAGACCTTGACCTTGGTTGTAGTCTTCCGTTGTTCTGTGTAGCCTCACCTCTGAGTGATAGTACGGAGATACTTCTGAAGCTTAATTATAAAGCAGCTTTTACAGAATCTGCTACTAAGATAATGAAGTAGCTGCCAAAGTTCAGGTTTGTTAAGAATCACTCCCTTTTTCTGCAATTAACAGAATGCCTTCGCAGACACAGGCATACAAACTCAGTTATAAAGCATTGTGGTAAGGCCATAATGATCATAGAATAGTTAGGGTTGAAAAGGATCTTAAGATCATCAAGTTCCAACCCCCCTGCCATGGGCAGGGACACCTCGCTCTAAACCATATCACCCAAGGCCTCGTCCAACCTGGCCTTGAACACTGCCAGGGATGGAGCATTCACAACCTCCCTTGGGCAACCTATTCCAGTACCTCACCACCCTAACAGGAAAGAATTTCCTCCTTATATCCAATCTAAACTTCCCCTGTTTAAGTTTTAACCCATTACCCTTTGTCCTATCACTACAGTCCCTAATGAATAGTCCCTCCCCAGCATCCCTATAGGCCCCCTTCAGATATTGGAAGGCTGCTATGAATTCTCCATGCAGCCTTCTCTTCTCCAGGCTGAACAGCCCCAACTTTCTCAGCCTGTCTTCATACGGGAGGTGCTCCAGTCCCCTGATCCTCCTCGTGGCCCTCCTCTGGCCTTGTTCCAACAGTTCCATGTCCTTTTTTTATGTTGAGGACACCAGAACTGCACACAATACTCCAAGTGAGGTCTCATGAGAGCAGAATAAAGGGGCAGGATCACCTCCTTCGACCTGCTGGTCACACTCCTTTTGATGCAGCCCAGGATACGGTTGGCTTTCTGGGCTGCGACCGCACACTGAAGCTGGCTCATGTTCATTCTCTCATTGACCAGCACCCCCAAGTCCTTTTCTGCAGGGCTGCTCTGAATCTCTTCTCTGCCCAGCCTGTAGCTGTGTCTGGGATTGCTGCAACCCAGGTGTAGGACCTTGCAACTTGTCATGGTTAAACTTCATGAGGTTGGCATCAGCCCACCTCACAAGTGTGTCAAGGTCCCTCTGGATGGCATTCCTTCCCTCCAGTGTATCAACTGAACCACACAGCTTGGTGTCATTAACCAGTTTGTAACAAATGAGTACTTCCTTCATAAACTTTTCTTTCACTGTTTACAGAAAAAAACCCAAAACAACAAACCAAACAAGTAAAGAAGGTAGGAGGAAAGAATAAAAAGAGAAAACTTTTACTGGAAATAAGTACATTAGCTTTTCTGAGAAGTGTCCTCTGTAAGAGACTGCAGCTTTGGAGATATATGTAAAACGCATTGCATTTGAATTTCTTTACTCAGAGAGTTACTGCAGTAACAAGTGACAGGATGAGAGAAAATGGCATTAAGTTGTACCAGGGAAGGGTTAGATTGGATATTAGGAAAAATTTCTTCACTGAAAGGGTTGTCAACCATTGGAACAGGCTGCCCAGGGAAGTGTTAGAGTGACCATCCCAGGACGTATTTAAAAGATGCGTAGATGCGGCACTTAGGGATATATGATTTAGTGGTGGACTTGGCAGTGGGTTGACAGTTTGACTTGTTCATTTTAAAGGTCTCTTCCTATCTAAATAATTCTGTGATTCTGTGTCTACTGTGTTTTGTGATAGCTGCCACTGCATATGTACTGCTAGCCTATAGGAAGCCTATGGTAAAACGTGTTGTCATGAACTCCCAGGAAAAAGGTTTAATCTAAATCGTCCTGTTCCTTTTGATAAGCTGAAAGCAGCCACATACTGTGTTCTTGCAGCACCCTGTAAAGTGTCATAATTCAGCCATACATCAGGATCCTGGGGTGGAGCTGCCCTGAAAAAGTAATTAAAACCTAAATCTGCAATGTTTCTTCTTCGGTGGCACTACCATTTGTTTTCAACACAGTGGATTAAATGAGGAAGGTTTCGGTTAGGTGGAGTTATCCCGTTATCAATTTTGAAAGTATTTTGGGACCTGTGACCTGAGTTCTTGCTGCTGGTCATCCCTGCATTTACTGAAGTGCAAAGTCTAGCTTTGTAAATGGCATTTGTTTGACTGGGCAGTCAGCCCTGGCTTAATCCCCAACACTGACTGTCCAAGGAAGGCTTGGACTGAATTTACTTTAAGGAATGAATACATGCAATGATATACTTGCACTCTGTCCTTTTCCCTCATTCATACTAAGTAGGAAACTGGACAGTGTGTACACCAGCTCCTGCCTGGCTGTCCCAAACGAAAGGAACAGCATTGGGAATGCTGAGTCATGTCAGATCTCACCCTGGTGGGACTTAGTTTGTGTGTAATGTTGCTGGAATGGTTTCCCCATTTACAATCAAATTTAAAATACATCTAACTTGACTGTTACTATCCCTCTTACCCCATATATTTATTTGTATGTGTTTGTTTATGGAAAGCTGTTTACATTGTGCTTAGTATTATCTCTGATACCTTGTGATCAACTCTCACCTACAGGTCAATTGATAAAAATCTGTGATCCAGAGGTCTGGGTCAGACATGCCTTTTTGTGGTACGTCATTTTCTCCTTGTTCTGTGACCTAGAGATCATACTAAAAAGGCCATGATTTAGAAGAACTAAAATTGGGTAAATTTGATTTTCACATTTTCCAGAGGCAAAATTCACTGTTTCAGGAGTTTATATCCAACATGACAGGAGAGAGGCAAGGAAAACCAAAGTGGGTGTTAGAAACATGTGTATTTTCACACCATCTTGCTACTTTCCTTTGCTTGAATTTAAACACTGTAAATTCTAGGGAGTTTCATTTTTGAATATTTCACCCCTGCCACTTGCTTAACTCTGTCAAGTATTCAGTTTCACGTTTGTGTCTGTAACTGTTACAAGAGGTGTTCCTTGTCTTCAGTCCACTGTATGTTTTTTTTCAGTTCTCGCTCCACCTGTGAGTAGATAGCTATTCATGATGTCTTGCCCTTGCATTTAAAACTTCTTTTGGAAGGCTTGCTGTTTTTCCAGGTCACTATATTAAGCTGGCTGTGCAAACAGCAGGGTGAACTGGAACAGCTGTGATTTCCAGTATCACGAGGACTGTTCAAGTCCTCCTTAAGGCTTAAGGTTGTGATCTTTCTCTCTCTGTCATCATCCTCTCCTGAAGCTCTTTCCCAACCACACTGTGGAAACTTTTTTTAAAGCTGTGATCTTTAAATCTGGCGAGTCATTCTGCCAGTCATTAGCTAGAACAAGCATATGCTGTTTAGTCACGAAGTGACACACATCCCAGGGGAATGTTCCAGCTCCCGGATTCCTGTGTGCTCGATAACAGATCTCTCCCAGTCTCTTGTAACTAAATATTTATCAAGTCATAGAGAGAGAATTACTTCCTCTCTCACTCAGCTGCGTTGTCACCGAATGTGGTTTGTGTCTTCATTTTAATGGCTATGTAGTTATTTATACAAAGCTCTATAAAGTTATTTAAACAACTTACCTAATAGAGACTTACCCAACAGTCAGTGTTACACAGAGTTAGAGACCCTTGGGTTAAAGTCCAGTTTAAGGGCCTGAAACAAGATCTTCCATGGTAGCTGTAAATAACTGCTAAGCTAATAGGAGAAGCGCTACACATACATACAGGGAGAAAGGTCTTGTTTTGCCTTTTGTGAGCATTACGTGTAGCTTAGGGATGTTCAGAGCTGACCTCCAGTTGTCCCGGTGAACATGCTGGAGGAAGAGCCTGCTTGAAGGTTTCTGCTTTGAGACTCCAGGGGTTTGCTTCAGTTAGTGACATACCTGTAATGCTAGGAGGGGTTTGAGGACATCAGGTCATGAAAGTGGACTCTACCTCCAGGGTTGGAAAGCAGTTTTTGCAGAAATCAATAGTGTTTATAGTGGACTTAGTCATCAAGTATCACTTGATGTTGGATTTTTAATTCTGTGTTTATATGTTGTTCAAGTTGGAGTTACTGATACAGGGAAGCATTAGTTATATATGTCCCAGTATTGTCATTTTAGAATGAAAACCAAAAAATGTAGGATTGTCCTTGAAGCATTCATGAAAGTATCTCTTTTTCTTAGTGAACAGATCTATATTTTTAGGTTCTTGTTACAAGGAAAGAAACATTTATTCTTGTTCCTAGATGCTTCTTGACCCATTTGAAAATGTGACTAGGAAAAGGACTGACTGCATTTCAACTAAAGATATGATCATAGTAGGCTTGGGGGAACACCTACCCCCTCCTTTCCAACAGGAAGGATTTAACAGTCAGGATTTCTTGCTCTCAAGAGCATTTTCATAGACTCTGGAAGACAGGAAAATATATAGGCTTTACATCACGGGCAGAAGATCAGTAAAACAATTGCTTTATTTCAGTCTTGGCAGGCAGTGGGACACTGAGCAACCTTTTTGGATAAACCCAGCAAGCTGTACTTGCAGCCTGATAGATTCAGTGGCCGCACAGAGCTCTCTAGAGCAAAACCAACTACTTAAATTCAGTCTGCTACTGAATAAGTAACCCATGCAGACTCAAAGCACAAACCTTTGGTGCTTCTGAAAACTAAGTTCCTGTAATTAAGGAACTGCTCAACTCTGCAATAGTTTCAGTGCCTGGATATGTTTGAAATGCAATGTGACATGAAGGAAGGGGAAGAACAGTTTTTGATATTATACTTTCATTTGTGCTCCTAAGCCTAACCATTAATTTAGCACCAGGTTTAATTTCATTCCAGGTTTTCATTTGCTCAGTTACCTGGGGTAAATGTGAAGTGGATTTAAGCGGCATTTAAGCGGCATTGTTTCAGACTTGTGCTGAATTAAATCAGGATGTGAAATCAGGATGTGGCCTAAACTGTAGCAAGTACAACATATTTTTCCACAGTTCTCTTTTCAGTGCTTATTTCAGTTTATGCTGACAAATATTTCATGCTTTATCTACTTACCTTTTTTTGCACTGTTGTTTTGAAAAAAGTAGGGTTGATGCTTAGGCCTGACTTAACAAATTGAGTTCAAAGTGTTTTTTTTCCATGTCTCAGCAGCAGTAAAGTAGAGTTAGGACAGATTTAAGATACATAATTACATGTAAAGATAAATCAATTCAGTTGCTCTTTTGTGGAGGCACTGCATGCTGCTCCTTGTTATTTTTATGCACATGAAGTTATCACAGTTTCTAACATGAAGGCTCACAAGCAGTCTCCTTCCTTCTGATGGCACTTTTGAGCAGTGAGACTGCGCAGCCATGCTGCTCTGGTACATCAGGTAAAGGCAAAGACAACGCAGTTTTCAGTTAAACCTTAAAAGGGCCCTGCTTCATCCTTCATCATTGATTTAAGCTATATGCATGTAGGAGTCATATCTGCAGTTGCGGTTTTGGGAAGGGCTTCTTTATCAGTTTGTGAGCGGGGGCATTTTTCCTGGGGGTAGGCAGCAAGGCTGGATATTTCTGGGAGAGATGTTTACGGAACGGGGGCTGGAACTGTCACAGACCAATGACCATGCCTTTTGCTTGGAAGTCAAAACCTTACAAGCAGTGTGCCACTCCTCCTGTGCAGCAGGTCTATTTCTCTGTGAGAGCTGGGACAGCCAAGTGGGAGCACCTCACATGCAGCCTGGCAAAGGGAGGGTATGTACCTCCTGGTAGAGGGAGCAGGTTGGGGAGAAACCTGCCTAGCCAGGGCTTTCCCTTCATCTGGCACACTGAGCTCTCCTTCACCAGTAGTGGTCTTGTCAGTGGTTCCTTGTCTGTTCAAAGGGCAAAGTACAGTGGCATTTCAACAGGGAAAATTTCTTTATCTGCCAAAGGGGAGAGAGCATAATAGGGCCTGAACTGCTGAATTCATGTAAAAAAGACAGGTCTTAGAAGCATGGCTCTGCTTTACAGTTACATTGGGTGTTTGTCCTGGTGAATGTGAAAGGTCTTACCTTCCCTGGTGGGACGCTTTGCATGCAGTGGTGATGTAGGAGGTCCAGCCAAAGCAACAAATCCAGCAGCACTCCATTTGACATGTGTGTCCCCTTTGCCCAGCACACCCAGCTCCACTAGTGAAAGTAACCTTGTCAGTAGGTTAGTTTGTGAGATGACTCTGGTCATGTGGCATTGCAATAGATTCAAGACCTTAGTTCCTTTGAGTTCTCTGTTCTGAACCTGGGTTTTCCCCAGTATTCAAGGCAGCAGCCTTCAGGGTGCCAATTGAACCTTGTGACCACTGTGCCTCAGCTGACTATGGAAGAGACGGTAGTTTTGTCAGTGTGAGACCTATGCCAGCGGCCCACAGAGAGGAGGGCTTCTCGTTTAGTGTGCCCTAATATAATGGGTGCAGGGCATTTCCAGATCAGAAGGTGCCACTCATGATCCCTCTTTAATCAGATACACCTCCCAGGTACCAGATTTGATGTGGCTGTTTTAATTTCCAGTTTTATGTGAAAAACTTTGTTTTATTAAAGAACCCTTGTCTGCTTAGAATGGTAATTACCTGCCTACCACCACCAAGATTTCGATGGAAAACTTTTAAGTAAATGTTATGGAAAAAGTGTTTGCGTAGGTTCAGAATGCTAGTTTAGCAGAATGCCAGTGTAATATATTAAAGAAGTTTTGCCCAGGAATGCTGGATGCATTAAAGACAACTTTGGTAAGTTGTTAAGCTACGTGTCTGTGGAAAGAGAAGCAAATTCTGTGTTTGATACCTTGGTCTTTGCTGTGCAGTGCATCTAGTAACATGAATATTTACCTTGTACATTATTTTCTCTGGCTTGAAAATTCAAATATGTACTTACAGTTACACTTACAGCTGTATAGCTGATCATGTTAATTTTATCAGGAGATTCAGTTTGCCCAGTCTTGCAACTGGACTGTTGCCAAGGTTGTGACTTAGAGTCAAAGAGGAGAAAACAGGACTCCAGTGAGATTGGTCATAGTAGGTGAGGCCTTAGTGAGTCAGAATGTTTTGGTAAGTGACATATTTTTCATGATGCCTGTATAACAGAATGACTAAAGAAGAAACTCAAACTCCAGTATGAGTATGAAAATAAAATCGGAAAACTCTTTGCTCATATCCTGACTGACTGGGAACAGTCCAGGTCCAGTATTTGAATCCCCATTTTGCCAGCCCTTTCTCTAAAGTTCAAGGATCTGCACCAAAATAAATGGTATTCTACGGTTCTGTTCCAGGCTGTCATCCACAACGTCTGAGATTAAAGAACAGCAGGAACATTGACAGCAACAAAATACTTCCAGTTTGAGATAGAAATAACTTTTATACAAAAGGAGGAAAAATATTTCTCCCTGGAACTCCACCCATGAATGGGATATCTGAATTACATGAAGTCAGAGTTTAAAATGGAGATCTGCAAATAATTTTAGCTATATGGCTTTTGCCACACATGTTCTAACACAGTGTTTGCTGCAGCAGTAGTGCTGTGCAACAAGTACTTGCAAAAATAACTTCTGTCTCTGTTCATATTCGTAAGGCACCATTAAAAGGCTCCTGTAACATTAAATGCAAGTCTGCTGTTAAAGTGATGGTTGTAATGAGAAAAGGAAAAGATACAGGGTTAACATTTAAATAAACAGGAGGAGGTGATCCATGCATGATCAATCAAGATTATTTTTACCCATCGTTGTTTAATGTGCAAGTCAAAAGTTTTCTTAGTAAAGAGAAAGCAGCTTTGGGAGCTGACTGAACTTGCAGTGAAATGTCATTTTAATATTTGGCTAAGCAGAAAAGCCTTATTTTAAAGTTTGGAGGGGGGTAGCAAACTATTTTGCTGCTACTGTTTCCGCTCAGGCAGACTTTCAAAGTGTAATCAAAACCATATCTATCATATAGTGTGTCTTTTCCACGTTCTTGCCAAAAATATTTCTATGTAAATCAAATGTTTTTCTTTCTAACGGGAAAGAGTGCTATGACCTCCAGAGGGCACCCAGCCAGAAACTCTTCAGTTTTAATCTCAGCTCCTGTGTGGTTTTTTAGCTGGTTTCCCTTCTCTGAAGAGCAGCAATAGCTGCCTACATAACTTCTCATCTCTCAGGATGGGTCCTTGTTGTTATCCATAATGTGGAAGGGAGCAGGGAACCCTCAGGGCCCATTAGGTCCAATATTTGGTCATCAATGGAGGAAGGAGGAGGAGCTGTCCTGTTGAAGCTCCACTGTGTCAGGTTCTCTGCACATCAACACTGCCGAGTAGTACCTGATTCAGATCTCAGTATTACTCTTTTCTGGACTTGATTATATATTATTTGAATATGGGAGGATTTCTGCCTGCATGTCTCCAGTGGATCTGCTTGCCAGCTACCTTCAGCATTTTCTTCACTGGTAGTAGCATTTGGCCTCTCCTGAGCACTGATAGTTTACTCAGTATCTATATAAAGCTGTCTGCTGTAAAACCGTACTGGCAGTATAGGTCTCTCTGCCAGTGAAAGCCCATGCAGGATAGCAAAACAGTCCCAGTCAGCCCAAAATCCTGATCTTAGTCACTTAATGATATTGCAGCACAGCCTTGACAACAAAACCTATATGCAGAAAGCTATTTTGTGGAGTGAATGTTTATCTTCATATTACTTTTAGATCACCATTTTACCTTTAAATGCTCTGTATGACACATTTGTGTCTGTACATTTAGTATCAGTATTGAAATCTGTAAGGTCGCTTCCAGGGTAAGAATGAATCTTCATGAGTAAGGATGACAGGTGGCTTCAAAAAATTCAAAAGGCAAAGCAAGAGGAGATTAGAAACAGGGCAGTGCTGTCCCTCACCAGAATTTTCCAGCTGGTTCCCAGCCTACATGCCCTGACTGCAGCCCATATGCTGTGTTCACCTGGTCCCTCCACAGTGTGCCCTGTGGAGCCCTGTTAATTGAGGCTGTTGCCTCTTGTAGTGCCAAACCGTGAGCTTCACTGGCTATTCTTTTATCCATCCACCTCTCTCTCTCTCCTCGTCTGCTGGCACCCTCCAATTCATAACACCCCCTTTCCTGCAAACCTTTGCCTTTAGCTGTCCCAGCCTCCATCCCCTGTCTGAGGGCAGCGCACAGAGGACAGTGCTCATCAGAGGGAAAACAGGAGTCTTGATCTATACACCTCTTTCCTAGGTAGAAAAAGCAGGGGGGCACAGAAGACAATAAAATTTGAACTTGATGGTGTTACTTCACTTTATTTTTTTTGTGTATGTTCTGTACACATCTGGATGGATTGTCCCAGGTGTGTTGATAGCAAGATCTCTGATTTCCAGGAAGTTTCCTACTTTTGCTTTAAAATGGCTGTCAGAGTCCTGAGGTTACATTATTGAAACTGACTATGGAGGAGTGGAATCAATGCAAACTCTTGATTTCTATATGAAATATTAAGTAAACTTCTAGACGAAGCAAATCAGCAGAACTGAAGTGTGGTTTGATCTGAATTTTCCTTCCGGTTTTTGTTTGTTGTTTTTTTTTTTTTGTCTCAGTCTGATTGCACTCAGTACAGTCAGTTCAGTCTTGCCTTTGCTGGGAATGATTCCTTGCTTATCTCCCAGAACCGCTCCTGACCTCACCTACCTGATGCTCTTTCATTCTGTATGTTTTTTCCATGATCTCATCACTCAGCAAATGACCGGCCAGTGCCTTTCTGAACATACTGTTCCTATTTCAGCCAGATTTCACCATCTTGTTCCATCCCTTGCTAACCTTTCTCCTCTAGCTATTATGAACATGAGCAGTTATATTTGGCCTACTGGTATCTTCTTTCAAGACCAGGAACTTTCTCCATGCCTCTAAAGAATTGCAGCACAAAGTAATTTGGGATTCTCAAGAAGAAAGTACAAAGATAATAGCTTTCCTCATCTGTCAGATATACTGATGCCACCGTATTCTACACTGCTGTCAACAGCACACTGATTTCTGTCATTCACTGCTATCAGAAGACACTAATAATCTGTACTCCATTTTCAAAACTAGTAACTTTCATCTCTCTAGTCAGTTTGTTTTCTCCATTTGGCCTTTTCCCTGAACCCAAAGCAAAGAATTTTGATCTTTGTATTAATGTAAATTCTCTCCTTCCTTCAAACGCCTCCCCTTTTCCCCCCTAACTTCTATTACTACTAGTTTGCCTCCTTTTAACTCATACCAGTAAGCTCTTAATCCTTCTCATCACTTAAGAAGCCCCCTATAACATTTGGTCTGGGCTCTCCGTCGTCACAATTATTGCCCATCATACAGATTTCCTGCGCTTGCTCTGTAACGGGAGCTCCTCTGCACTCTCCTCTGATCAATCGCTCCTTTCATGTTGACAGTCCGACTGCTTCCTGTTAAATCTCAAAAGCTCCCTTTTCAGTGAGTGAATCATGAAAGCACCGTTGTTTCATCTTCCTAGGTTTTTCACGAAATACAGTTGAAATTTTAATCTTTATTAATCTTTTTCACTAGGTAATTAATAACACAATTACTAATGCTTTCCTTTCTTTTGATAGTTTTTGTGTGTCTTGAACTTGGTACCATCTTATGTACTAATTACTGCTTATATACTAGTTATGCAGGCATTTTCCTTGTTAGGATTCTTGCTTCCTTTAGTCCATAGTGATTCCCTTTTAGTACCATTATTTCTCTTCCATGGCAGCCCAGAAAGATGGAATAAGACAGTGATGCTTGATCCTAATTCCTTCTCCTCTGCAATCGTGTCAGCTGGACCAAAAGTATTTCACATGGGTATATTCTGACTGGATCAGGAACTGTGAACAGATTGTCTTGTGCTGTTCTTCGATTCATGGAGTTTAGATAGAAACTGGGACTAGAAAGGTGTGGAATGTAGCACACGCTGACATCGCTGAAATTGGCTTAGAAAGCTGAGAAGAGGCAGGCTTGTACAGAAATGTGCCAGGAGAAAGGGAATGTGCTGACTTGCATAGCCCCAAAGCTGAGAGCAGGATGTCTTGGGATGCAGCAGATATACAAAGGGTTGCCTGGGTCAGACAGCTGAAAACGGACCTATCTGGAGCGTGGAATAGACTTAATCCCAGACAATTTAAAACAAGAGTTGCAAACAAGCAGGCTTGTTGCATAACTTAACACACATGAGAGAATGAGCCACTGGATCAATGCCTTGCCACTGATGGAACCACAGATGTGAAGCCAGAGCCAGTTTGCTTTCATGATTTGCCATACCAATGCTACTTCTGCCAGGATATGGGGTAGGGACAGATGAATCCTCCCACAGGACGCTGCAAAAACATCGACAGAGCTACACAGCTTACTGCAATGTTACAAACCCTAAGCACCACATCTGGAGAAAATGAAAGAGTGTAAATGCATGAATTCACTCATGCAGGCACTTGTATGCTCCCTTTCTCCCCATGCTTGACCATTATGCTGTTGTTCTCCATTATGGTAAGCAAAACCAATGGGAGTGTATTGAAGGTGCCCTTCCGCCAAATTAATCCTGCACCAGAGAGCCAGTCTGGCTGGGAGCTGAGGGCAGGGAAAATCCATGCCTGGAAAAGTAGCACTGTTTAAAGGCATGGAGGTCTCTTTGTTGGTATGCTTGGGCTGTGGCATAACAGCTCTGCTGAGAGGAAGCTAAAAATTGGCAAGACTGGTATTTGAGGGTAGGGTAGCGCAGGAACCTAAGCAGGAGCAGTCCTAATGTGTAGCGCAGATTTGATATGTTCCATGTACCACCTAAGCAGGAGGAGTCCTAATGGGTAGTGCAGATTTGGTATGCTCCTATGTACCACCCCTTCTCCCCCTGCCCTCTACAATTACTTAGGTTTGGCAAACGCTAAACCTCTAAATTAGGCTTAAAACTTGAAACATTGCTTTGGGTGCTTTGGCACTGAAGACCATTCTAGGAACCCAAGGAGCTCTTCCACGATTTTCCACGTGTCATAGGCCTAGGCTATACCTGCTATGTAGGGCTTTTATGTAGGGCATCTTTCTGTTGAATGTTTAAAGACTGTTAAAAGAGGGGGCAGGTCAAGAGAGAGAATGCATAAAAGTTGTACACTGCAGGTGTTTCACCAGGAATAGCAGGTCCAGATTTGTCCTGTGACCTTTCCCCCAGTTGGGGGAATTTTGACGTGCAGTTGCTTCCTGAGTTACATAGTGAAGGAGTTCATTCCTTGCCTGCACACACCGCAGCCCCATCAGCAGTTATAGATGTAATGGAGGTTATACTTGTGCTCTACTGGATGTATAGTGGAAGAGCCTGTAGATGAAGGGCAGAAAAGGGCCCCATTGTCTATGTGTTCTTGAAAACTACAGAAATTCACCGGCTAGAAGTTTAGGCCCAAGTGGAAGTGAAGAGTGTAAACAAACTCTTTCTCTTAGCTATGTCCTTGCAGAACACAGTACCCAAACCTAATCAACAGGAAATCAGAAACCAGCAGCTTAACTCTGAGTTTCCATTAAATACAGATACAACGGTTGCTCTATTAAGAAAAAAATACAAATTCAATAATCCTTAATAACTCAGACCCTATATTAGTAATTGCCATTACAACTAATGCAGCAGATGAAGTCCCATCACCCAGTTTGTGTCTGCAGTTCACCAGTAGTATATCCAATAAAAAGATAAAATTTTGTATACAAATATGAGACTGATGTCAGCCATCATACTAGGAAGGGAAACCTCTTAACTGGGCAGAAAGAAAGACCAATAATAAAGGTATGTACAAAATATAAAAGGAGGTAGAAAAAAGAAAATACTGAACCTAGTTTTATGGTTCAGTAAGAACACTTCCTAAGAGAAAAGGCAAACCTGGCTTCTTCTGAGGAATTTTTTGCTTTACCAAAATGCACAAAATGTATTGGGCCTCACATTGAAGAAGCCTGTTGTCAAGTGCTTCAGAAACATTTGAGTTAGAGCCAGGCACACATACTGTCTCCTTCTGTCTTTCTTTGTCCTTCCATGAATCTGACCCTCCTTTAGAAGTCCAGCTTCAACAGGAAGAGCAGAAAAAGGTCTCAGTCTAGAATAGCTTCTGCTGTAAGAGCCTTCAGCTTTCTCAAGCTCAAAAAGAAATTGCACGCAGGTCTCTACTTGCTGTATGTAAGCTCTGCATATTGAGATGGAATGCAAAAGGCATGAATCTTATCAGACATGATTCTGCACTAGTTGCCACTGTGCTTGTGTTTAATTCAGTGCTACCTACCTTTGCTAAACATGTTCAGCATATGATCGCTGGAATCAGGCTGTGAAGGAGTCAGACACAAGTGAGGCCCAAAAACATCATCACACTGTAGACCACATATGGCTTTAGGCCAGAAATAACAATGAAGATGTTCAGCTTAGCCTAGAACATTAGCTATGGTATGTATCTTCTAGAGAAAAAAAGTAAAGATAAAGAAAAAGAAATCAGGCATATAAGCACTTAAGACAATAAAAGTACAGTTCACTCTGTAGAGAAGCCCAAGTTCAGGATGGATTGAAACCTGGAAGGTTTTGCAAAACCTGTGCACCCTTGCTTATAGGACATTGGTAGATGATGAAGTAATTTGTTACCTCAGTTATCTCATGTTCTCAAAAACAGAAGTTCCTTTCAAATACTTTAGGATGGAAACAGATCTTCACTTGTTAAAAAATGAGTTGCAGGCATGGAGCCAAAGTTTCCCTGTCAAACTTGTATGAGCACTGGATTTACTTGTATGGATGTAGACTAGGATTTGGCCAATACAATTTGTCATAGTCCCAGGTGTTTCAAATGACCATAATGTGCTTTAATTCTGGCTAGCCATTAGGGTGAGGACTGTCTTGGCAGTAAGGTCAATATAATGTCACTGAACTCAGTTCCTAGGCTTATAAAACAAGTCTTGCTGAGTCTTCGACACTACTTTCACCTATGTGACTCATGCTTACATGGGCACCTGCAGCTATAATTACCTGGGTTAAGTGAAAAGCTCTTTGGGAGCCTCTCTGAGGGCTCTTAGTAGCTCACTAATTTGTGCTACTCTAGGAATTGATTCAGACTTCATTTCCACTTTCTCTGTGTGGAAGAACTTAGCCTGCTGACACATTTAACCCAGTCACTTCCAGCAAAGTATGTTGGTTCTGTCCATTCAAGCATGGTGCCAAAGCAAGAGTCCAAAGTAGAATGGACTTCTTTTGCAAGACAAATTAAAAGCTGCATAAGATGAGCTCATTTAAGCCACAGTTTCAGACATCCAAACACAAGACAAGTTGTCTGAGGGGGCATTATAGCTGCAGACACTAGCATGCAGAGCTGTAGGCTGTGCAGCATGACTGACATGGAACAGCTAGCTTACTTATTCATCTGTGCCTGGGAGGGTCAGCAGAACTTCCAGCACTTCCCTAAGGGAACAAAATCTTTCTGGTACAAGAGGATTTCCCTGATTCTCCTCACAACACAGTGGTGTGGAAGCCTTACTACTGCTAAGGCAGACCACTGCTGAGGCTGGAAGATAGCAATCTCACCTGACTGCTTGGAGGGTTCTACTGGATGCACATAACTCAGCTCTAGTCAGAAGCATACAGACCATATGGTACCCAGATGATGCATAATAGTGTTTATTTATTGGCCTGGAGATATGATGATGCACTGACTGGCAAAAGGAACAACTTTGCTCTAAGCAGCAGTTATCGACAGGTACCAATGCTTGTGTTTGCTCTTTTGCGATACCATGCCTGGGTAATGCAGCCAGGAGGTGCATGGAGTAGCTGTGCAGACTGTGTCACAGAATGGTGATTAGCAACTTGGTGACAACATAAGCCAAAATGCAAGATAAAGCACAGCATGTAGTTAGCAAACAAGGCACAATTGTCTCCTTTTGTCATTAGGCTGTAGGATAAGAAAGGATGAGACAGCCATGGAATATTCTGTTTGCCACTTGTTATCTAGAACACTGCTAACAGAAAGCTGCTAAATCAGCCTAGCCAAAGCCAGAGGTGAAAATTATGTTCTCATGAATTAGAGAGGGCCCAGCAAAAGCTGTTCAAACAGAGCTTCTGTCACCTCCACTGGAAAAGTGCTTATTACTTTTATTATGGAAATGCCTTAAGACATTATAATTTCACATGCATACAACCGCTGCCTGTTTTGCTAGACACTGTACAAACACCGAGAGAGAGACCTACTCACCTGTCTGGAGCCCTGGGAGCATTGTGAGCATTGACACAGAAGTTGCTCTTCAGACAGCTTTTCACAGTGTAGGAGTAGGAAATACGTCAGCCTAATAGCAAAATTCCTACTGAAGTCAACTCAGGAGTCTCTCTCCCAATAAAGACATAGCTTATTTTAGGAGTCCACACTACTTCTGACGATGTATTATAGGACAGACTGGCGTTGCCCAAAGTTTCTCTCTTAACTCTGCTCTTATTTATTACTTGGCTATGAAAATAGCATATGTATAAGACTATATAAAACAAGATTGTACTGTGCAAAGGGCCCCAATTTATTTACTCAATACGTCTCATGGTGTCTGCATGATTACATACAAATGCCGGGGGCAAAAAAGCAATAAAAGCCACAAGACAGTAGAAGTATTGTTCAGATAGCTGTGTAATAATATTAAGCAATTTAATTTTCTGTGTTGAAAGTTAATTACTTACTTTAGGGAAAGGCCAATTTAATGTCTTCAATCACCTAAGCAGCATAGATTCATTAAAAGGTACCCATATTAGAAATAACTTCATGCCGCATTGCTTTTATTTCCAGGGATAAAACTTCTTGCCCTTACCCCTAGCCAACTTTTGTTCTAAACAGATTTTTTGCTGTCCTTTTCTCCATAGCTTCCGGGAGGTAAAAGAAAAAAGCCTGAAACAAAGCTTTGTGGACCGTGTAAGGACATGCCTAGATATTACAGGTGTCTGACATCAGCCGCATATAGCAGAGAAATGCAAGGAGATTCGCCATATGAACATTTCAACTGCCACAGAAATAGGGGCAAACTGTATAAGAAAGTCACTAATGTAATAGTGATTAGAGGCTGAAACTCAAGGAAACCGTACCTTTAAAAACCCACAAAAGTTAAAAAAAAAAAAAAAAAAACCAAATGAAAGACCAAAAAAACCCTAAGAACAGCAGAGTCAGGAAATGAGCCAGAATTACTATTGGTATGTAAGGGTAAATATTGGAAACTCACATAATGTTGCTGAAATGACCTCTTTTAGGTGACCTTACTGAATTCAGTACAATGCTCCTGTAAAAGGAAAGCCTGTGAATGGGCTTAAGGGAGGCATGGAGGGATTGGAGTAAGAATAAATAAAATAAACACACCCTAACCTGTTCATAATAACAGCATCTTCCAAATGCTTTCCCTGCTTTTATAGTCACTTTCAAAACCAGCAGTAGGTAACAAAAACATTCCTGCAAAGGGTGTGTGCGAGCACTAAATCTGTCACGGGTAAGAATAATCCAGAATCAGTCACATATGTGTAAAGTACCCTTCCAGTCTGCAAAGCGGTTGTGAAAATAAGCAGCCAGCACTCCTTTGTTTGACATTTGCTCTCTCATAGCAGTACTTGAGATCAGTGGTGGAAGAGGCACAATTGCCAGCCCTGAAACCCTGGTGTAGGGTATGATCTTCTGGATGTTGCCAGTAAGAGTATCAGCCAAAACAGTCTCCTATTTTCCTAGCCTCCTTACCTACTGCCCTCAAATGACAGTTTTGTCATGTGCTGCCCTACTGCCCTGCATCCACTGATGTGCACAAGAATCTGGTTTGAGCCAAGAGCCTGAAATCTATGAGGTACTGATGTCCCATTTAGATACTGCCAGCATTTTCAAAGCACTGAAATGCTCCTTAATCCTGGAGGTGCTTGAATTTTTACTCATCAAAATTTGCAAAGCCTGCCTTACAGCTTATTAGCTGCTTTGAATCTTATCTCAAGCTGAGGCCCAAGGTGTGGTACACAAAGCAGGGAAGGGAATGCCTTTCTCACTTCAGGGCCTCAACCCTTAGGC